AATTTATTTTTAAAATAAATACATAAATAAAAAGAATAATGATTTTTTTATTTGCTAGCTTCTACCTGCCAACAAATTCCAGACAGTTGAAGATAGTATTCATCCATAAGTCCGCTCTGTATCAGGTACTAATTTAGGGAGGAATTGAGTCTTCAATTCTTTTTTTTTTTTCATTTCCAACAGTAAACTTTCATGTTGTTTGCAAGTTTGCAGAATTCTGCTGATGTCAGCTGGTTCACTCAGACTTCTTCACTCAGCTGTTGGTCAGATAAGCCAACTCAGCTGATCTTGGCTGGGTTCAATTCTTTTATTCAGTTCACCAAACAGTAAATGGATCATCTCCTAGAAGCAAGCTCTGAGGTTTAGTGTCGAGCTGTATGGAGATGGAGAACTAGCCAAGTGTAGCAAGACCAAGAAACTTGCAATCAAGACCTGAGTTTGGACCTTGGGTTCACCTCTAACTCCTTTCTACCTTAAAATAAGGGGAGTGTAGTAGCTCATCTCTAAGGTCTCTTCTGGCTCAACTCTTCCATGATTTCAACCTCATTTCACTGAGAGTTGTAGCCCTTTTCACAAGAGTGGGTGAGACAGAGTATATGGCCCTGGGCTGTTCCCCATAAATCATCCTTTTAGGGGCCAGGACCCTGCCCTAGGCAGTAGCAGCAGTTAGGTAACAGCTAACTCACACCCCAAGATGACTGTAAAATGTGTGTACTGCAAAGAGATACTAATAAAAAAATAGAAAAAAAAGAAGTGGGCATTGTGAGCCTTGGAGAACAAGTCAGGTGTCCTCTTGGGCTCCTCTTTCTCCCCTGCTCCTTGGCCCATGCCTATGCCTCACTGCTGCCCAGGGTCCATACTGGTTGCCAGCTACAGCCTGGAAACCCACTGTTGTTGACTGCCACTCACCAAGTGACAAGATCTTAGTCTGCCCAAGTTGAGACCTGGAAGTCACTAGGGAAGGTTAAACTGATGTCTCTCTTCCTCCTCTCCCACTTTCCTCACCCATCTCCACTGGCCCATCTCCTTCTACTTGTTCCTCTACCATTGAGTGCAAAATGTGCCCACAACCAGGCAATCAGCAATCCAGAGAGATGGGACACAAATTTTTCTCTCTGGCTAAATAGCTACATAAAGTCCTTGATTTTGCCTTGAACTGCAAAGCCCAAAATATTTACTCTATAACCCTTTATAGGAAAAGTTTCCCAATTCTTGGGCTAGAGCATAACCTATTAGAGAAGAGGCTATAGAATAATTAGATGATCTGGGTTTAATTCAGAGCTCTATCACTTCTTATTGGTGTGATCTTAGGAAAATTACTTAACCTCTCTGAGCTGTTTCATAATCTATGTGTGTTAATAATCCCAGTGCCTGCCTCATTGGTTGCTTGTACGTACACATACCCATCAGATAATGTTAGCAAATTTAGCAGGGTGTGCATGTAATAAACACGTTCAAATGTAACACATCAAACAAAGGGTGTGCCTTTTGGGGGCCAGGTTCTTTACTAGGCCTTCACAAAGCCCATAGTCTAGAAGGAAGATTTGTGGTTTTTAAAAAAATTATTACTATATGTTTGCTATAATATGTATTATATTAATTATTATATAATTACTAATATATTCATTGTATATATTATAATCATTACATATCTCAAGTCTTTTCCCCTTCCCTTCATCCTCTTTCACTTTTCAAGCAACAGATTCATTTTTTATGCCATTATAAAGTTAATTAGCATATGTACAGATTAACAACCAGACTAGTAGACCAAAAATTATATAAAACACATAAAACAATTATACTAAATCAAAGCACTTTTAGATACATTGTTCATACTGGATAACAATAACTTTTTTCTCTCTTTTTTCCTATTGTATTTTATTTTGCACTTTATTTATATGTTTTTTCATATAAGAGAAACCATGCACTATTTAAGCTTGTATGTCTCATTTACCTCACTTAACATTATGGTCTCAAAATTAAGGCAATGCAGTATATAAATTTCTCTAACAGGACACAGTTGTGGGAGAAAGAAAAGCAAGGCCAACTGTAGGGCCGGACAAGGTTTCACAGAGGAAAATATCCATGAGTTGGCAGGTGTTGTGCCCAGATCGCGAAGTTCCAAAGACCACCAGGAAGCCGTTTCCGATATAAGCACACGAGGTTCGTTTATTCAAGCTCAAGCTCGAGCAGGGACTCTCAACTGTCACTGACGCAGCGGGTCAAGATTGAGAGCCCCGAATTTCAAATTAGCGGGGTTTTTATAGAAGTTACAGCAAGGTTTTATCTAGCAACTACAATGATTGGTCGGTGCTTAGCATGCATGAAGTGTAGATTTTTGATTGGCTAGGCTCATCGAGGGGTTGATGGGGATTACGTATAGGTTTTACAAGGAAAGGGGGACAAAGGTTAGTGGCCCACTGTCACGTACTGATGGTTAGCAGACATCCTGACTAATAGTCACGACCACCCTGTGTGGATAGTCAGCACATCAACAGATTGTCCTGTGGGACTATAAGATTCTGAATCTCACTGCCCCCAACCCTAGTGCATTTAAAATCTAATGGGCTAAAAGTGCCTGTTAGCTCTAAACTGTCAAGATCAGTCATAATGCCTAAAGTATGTTGCTTAGCTCATTGTTCAGAACTGATGTTCCGAACATCGCTATCTATTAGAACAATCTGCAAACATCTGCCGACCACCAGTACGTGACAGTCGTGACCATTAGTCAGGATCTCTCCTGGCCATCAGCATGTGTCAGGTGACCACTAACCTTTGTTCCCCTTTCGTAAATCTGCATGTTAACCCCCTTCAGCCTCTTATAAAATGGCCTCGGATTCTGAGCTAGATGCCTCTCTAAGCTATTTTGCTTTGGGAGTGCCGTCTGGCCAGACTAATAAAGGTCTGTTTTATTTTCCAACTTGTCCAGTGTGTTCCTTCCCGGGTGTTCGTCGCTGCAGTCAGCTCCTCGGAGCATTCAGTAAGGCCCTCGGTCTTACAGTCCTATAGCTAGTGGACCCGGAACATTTGTTTCTAGAGTAAACAGATGGCTGAGTAATAAATTTAGGAATCTTGTCCTGTTACAGATTGTGTCTCCTGTCTCAGAGCAAACACATTTTAACCATTATCTGTGTGAGGGTAATAAAAACCAGGGAGAATGGAAGATTTTAACAAAATGGAGTCACTTTGGTCTCAGGCAAATAAAAAGCTTATTCTTGGCCGACAGAAATCCATGTACAGGGTCTTGAAGGCATAAAGAAAACTACATATTTTCATTAGCAGATCAGCACAAGATGTGAGGTCAGCAAGAGTTAGATAGACCTGGATTACAGTGTGATGTGTTTGGAAATTGAGATTGACAAAGCCTGCAGGTCCTAGACCCTGGAGTGCCTTTTCCCCTATCCCAAAAGTTGGGGATTTGTCCTGCAGGTAATTGAGTCACTGAAGGAAGCCAAACAAGTCAAAAAGGATCAAGATCAAAATATGGTGTCTAGAAAGACCACTCTGGCTCAATATAGAAAGCAAATTAGGTAGCACTGAGGAAGCTGAAGTGAGTTTAGGAAAAAAAAAAAAAAGGTACAACTCTGAATCAAGGCAGTGTTTGTGAGAATAAAGGGAGCTATTCAGAATGTAGAATCAAAAGAAACAAGCCACCCGGGGAAGTTCCCAAGTTTTTGCCTGAGGCAAGTAAAGAGCACAGCTACGACGGGAGGGGCAGGCATATGGGAAATGGTAACAAGCTCTGCAAAAAGAAAAAAAACACTCTCAAAATTCAGCCCGATGAAAGGAGTTTCTGAGAATGAAGGCATCCCCGCAGCCTTTTGCCATGTTTACATTTGGGAAACAGGCTTTAGCCAGCACCACCACTGCATTTCCTGGGTGGGGCTCCCAGATGGGTGTTGAGACAGTGGCTTTTTTTTTCTTTTCCTTCTGTTCCCTTACTATGACTTTTAGATGAGTTTGCAGATACAACACCGGAAACCCTATGATTAATGCAGTTTTCAAGCAGGAAGCCAAAAGGGGGGAAGGCAGCTCTGGAACATGGCCAGCCATGGTTAGAGCGTTTCTCCATGACTCCAAAACTGCAGAAGACTAAGCCTTCGCTGTGGGAGCTCATTTGGCCAAAGTCTAACTCCCAGTTTTTTCTGTTACTGTGAATTATTTTTGAGAGAAATGAAACTACTCTAGGTTTTTCCATATTTTTTTCATATTTCATTTCTTATAAGTGCCTAGTATTTTATGGCTTATAAAGTGCTTTACAGCCATTATGATTTCACCAAGACAGGATTATTCTCCCTATGAAACAAGATTCTTAGATGTAAATGGTTGTATTAAGAATACATGGCTAAAAAGTACCAAAACCATTCACACAGATCTGATAATATTCCATATTGGCAAAACAATAGGGAAATGGAAGACTTACACATTTATGGTAAGTATATAAATTGTTCCAGCTTTGTCAATATTTATTAAATGTGGTTACCCTTTGATCTGGAAGTTTAACTTTTGGATCTTTTTGTTTTGTTTTTTTGAGACAGGGTAGCTGGCCTCAAAGTTTCACTCCTCCTGCCTCAGCCCAACTTTTGAATCTCTCCCTTTTTTTTTTTTTTTTTTTGGTACCAGGGATCAAACTCAGGACCTTGCACTTTGGAGACAGGCGCCAGAATCACTGATCTAAATCCCTGGCCCTTCAGTCTCTATTTTAACCTGAGCTCACCCTACAAAGCAGAAGTGAAAATAAAAGCTTGCAGGCAGGAAGTCAATTTGAAGCTTAAGGCTGGGAAGAATGAAAAGGCAATTATATTATCAAGCTAGTCACCATTTTGTGCAACAAGAGTGTGATCCTGCTGGAGCCCTCAAAGGCACCACAGAGAATGTCTGAAAGAAGGAAGAGGTGGACCTTTACTCACAGGATCCCACCTCACATTGGTCAAAGGTTAACACAGAATGTTACTCTTTCATACTTCCAGCTTTGTCAAGTGAATTCCAAGAGATACTCCACAAATATATAAATTATTATTAAAAATTTAAAAATTGGGAGAGGTCCTAGGAGCTTGAGATAGCACTAGAACATAGATCTCCAAAGTCAAGCATAATCTTCAGTCTGGTGGTTATGGTTTTATAGAACTGGAATTATGGAGACTAGATTCCAGACCCTTTGAAGATGGAGAGAGGAGCCTGGCAAAAGATAGGAAAGGTGTTTTAGTTTTCTGCTATGGAAGACACCATATTCCATAACATGGTGGCTATAGAACACCTGATATCCTGCTAGGCAGTGCTGCCAGGGGTCAGAGGACAGCAGATACCATAGCCAGCCTCAAAACCAAAGACAGCAAGTTAAACAAATGATTATCAAAAAGCAGTACTTTTCCAATTGAGTGGGCATGGGATTCATCTGAAGCTTGCTATAAATTTAGACTACTGGTCCCCACACCTAAAATTCCAATTGGAACATGGACAGCTACATATATAAGCTTACATTTATAACATCTGAAGTCTACATATATAAGCCTGCATCTATAATCTGTGGTTATAAATCCCTCAATTAATTCATTTGTTTTGTTTTTGTTTTTGTTTTTTGTACTGGGGATCAAACTCAGGACTTTGCTCTTCCCAGACAACTGAATTATATCCCTGGCCCTCCCTCAGGTAATTCTTATGTAGGTGATCCTAAACCACATTTGAGAAACATTGCCTTGGACCTAAATTCTTGGACCTAAATTGGACCCGTAGGAGGGGTGAAAGTGTCTCATTGATCCCTTGTTCCCTCTCCAATACTTACCACATGGCAGGGACCAGATAACTGTCCACTGAATTATTCAAAACCAGTCCTCCAAAAAGCATCTAGTTCACAGGGGTCAGGTAAAATCTGTGGCCTCTGCACCTCCAGGGTTCTGGGACTTCATTTTACCAGGGAAGATAAACCCAGGAAAAGTGATTCAAAATCAGTAACTCAGTAGAGGCTAACTGGTAAACCACAGAGCTAAAAAGCTATTAACATAAAGGAACTGCAAATTAATTAGCTAATACTATATTTTCTTCTAATAAAGTCCACCTATGAAAGTAAATTACTACCAGGCTGTTGTTTGGTAACAAGAAGTCAGAGTAAATGGAATTTAAAGACTTTTAGGCTTAAATTGTAACTATCCAACTCTTAATATATATATAGAAGCACTGCATAACCTAAAAAGCATTATATAAATATAAGGTATTATTAACATCATCATATTAGAAAACATACTGGAGGCATTATAACCAGAGCACATGACCTCTGGAGTCAGATAGGGTTCTAACTCTCTCCATAAAAACTTATGCAAGTCATTGCATTTTCCTGAGCCTGCTTCCTGCCCAGTAAAATAGAATTAATGATATAGCCTGCTCTTTGACACTTTGCAAGAATTAAAACTATGTAAAGTCTTGACACATTATCTTGCACTTAATTCGTTCTCAATATTTGATTAATAGTTTTCAGGCCCAATCTGCTGACAAACTCTACTGTCAGATGGATAGTAAATAATACAACCTGAGTACAGTGAGAAAGACATGGTGGCTGACAACATAGGTTCCAGTCTCTACGACGCATTTTAGGTGGTTATCTTAGATATCTAAGCCTTAGTTTTCACATTAGAAGAAGGCAGACAACGCCTGCCAACACTGCTCATTTGTTGATTTCCTTTTTTCATTCATCTTACTTATTAAATGCTCACAACATAGCCCTAATGTTAACTACTCAAAACCTGGAAATTAAGGAGGAGCTTAGGAAGGAGTTTCAAAGGACATAATGCAAGCGAAGTTTCCCATGGGTCACTGGCAAGACTGTCAGAAGAAAGAGCTAGCTAGCGTAACTCCTCTAGCCAGTCCCCATAGAAGCGATCCCTTCGCGACCTTCCAGCTCTCTCTTGAATATCTATCTGCCTGGAAGGTGGAGAGAGAGGAAGGCCATAACAAGAGTAGTCTTTCCTTCTGGACGAAAAAAGCACAGCATTGAACCTGTCTGGATTTGACCTGTGAGTCTGGACTTAAAGACAGAAAGGTCTGAAGAAGCAGCAGAAGCTCACTGAAACGCTGAAAATCCACCCTAGACTACGATCAAAAACCTCTCGCTGCGCACGCGCGCTTTGATTTTCAACCAACGCAAAGCCCTACTGGGTCGGAAACCTGATGACGTAGCCTACGTAGAAACACGAAAGGAGGGCGTTGGGAAAACCGCTGACTGTAGGTCACGTGAGCAGCGGGAGGGTGGTTGGCTCCTCCCTCCCCAAGATGGCGTCTTTGCTGCAGTCGGAGCGGGTTCTCTATCTAGTACAGGGAGAAAAGAAGGTTCGGGCCCCTCTCTCACAGCTCTACTTCTGCCGCTACTGTAGCGAGCTGCGGTCTCTGGAATGTGTGTCTCACGAGGTAACGGAGTCGTCTGGTGAAAACTGTTGGGGGGGGGTTCGTCCTAGTCACTGCGGTGGGGGGGAGTTCCCCCGGTTGGGGCGGCAATTATTTTTCTTAGCTTGCTGATTGGCTAGTCTTCCCATCACTCGGCTTTGCTTGCGTTTTAATTCGCTTATAGGCTGTCACTTGGAAAGGAAGTTCGGGTGGGGCTGAGCGGGTCTTCTTGTTTCTAGAGTGGCCTCTGGTTGGACAAATTTGACTTAGACCGTGTCTCTCTTGGTGGGCTGGGGAGAAAGGTCTGAGAATGGTTAGTTAAGGCCACTTGGGCGAGCTAACCCGTTATTCCAGAATTGCTAGGAGAGGAGCAAGCATTCGTATTCATGGCCCTCCCACCTTTGAAAGTTCTGTCCGTTTGGCTAAAAACCGGGCCCATCTTCAAACTGCTTGCCTTGTTTCCTGTCTCAGGTCAAGACCTGCAGCAGGCAAGAGATACGGGTGGGGTGAGTTGAGTGGAAAACATTTAAAATATAGTCTTGTTGTGGAAGCCCAAAGAGTTACATTTACGATGCTTCTGAGGGTACTGGTGGCATTCTTCGAAGACACAAATGGGAGTGGGAATAGGATCACAGCCAGAAAAGCAACAATCCCTAAACTTCCACAGCACTTGACGCAGTAAGCTTTAGGGATTGAAAAATGAGTAAGACCTTGATATTGAGTAACTCAGGTGAAGAAAAAGCTGTTAGCTACTTTATTCAGTACTTGTGCTTTACTTGTGCTAATGAAGGTGGGTGCTTTTAAAAAAAAATTAAAAGAAACAGATACCATGTTTGTTGTAGGCCACATAGACAGTAATTTAAGAGTGGGAGGTAAGATCAGGACTCAGAAAATTGTACTCAACATTCCTGGTCTGTTAAAATGCATGTGAAAAGTCCAATGGTATATAGACCATTTTACACATTAATAATTATTTTATTGGAGAGACTCTTACATAATACTAAGACTAGTCAAGGAAAGCAGTTAAAGAATACAAGAAAATCAGTGCATATACCATATTCTTATACATTTTTGTATGTTGTATATATGACTTTTATATTCTTTTGTTTCTTATATTTTCTATTAGCAGCTTGTATATATCGCCTTGGCAGGTCCTTTCTCACTTAGATGTTTCCCTGTTACAGGCTCACCCCCAGAACTCACCGCATCAGATTTCCTGTAGTGGGCATTAGTAAATTCATTCTCCATCATCTCTAAGGATCTCTTCAGCTAGCCGTGGTGGCAAACCTATGGCACACGTCCCACACCAGGCTGTTTGTTATCATTGGAAGCTCTGAAAGGTTCACCATCACTGGGCTAGGGCACCCAAACAGCATCGTTTATAGCCTGATGCATACCTGAAATGCAGAATCCATTAGTTTGGGAAGGGTGAGGCAGTCCACAAAGTTCTAATGGAGAATCTGGGTCTGAAGCTGCACATGAAGGGACAAGCAGAATTTGAAAAGGGGTCAAGAAGGAATGAATTGTATTTTGCCTTTTATCCTGTGTCAGTGTGAATTTAGTTAGCAATATTGTGTTTTATATTAAGTAGCAACTTTTATTGATGTTTACTAATTGGTCCTGTTTATAGTAGGTGATGATAAAAGAAAACACAGTTTCTATCATAGTGTTTATGTTCAAGTGAATGTCTTTCCATCTGCTAGTGTTCTATAATTATTAAAAAGGATCTACCTAAAGAAAATAATTACACAGACCTTTTAAAGTACAGTACCTTTTTTTTTTTTTTTTTTTGGTACTGGGGATTGAACTCAGGACCTTGCTCTTGGAAGGCAGGCAGCAGAACCACTAAGCTAAATCTCCAGCCCTAAAATATAGTACATTTGATTTTTAAACTGTCTTAAGTTAAATACTGTAAGATTGTTCTGTAGCTTAGTATGTCATTTAAAAATCTCTAACTGGTTGGTTATAGTTGACTTTGTAAATACTAATTTTTGCTTTAGTAAATGTTAAATAGTGAGAAAACTACTTTTAAAAAATCTCCCTTAACAATTAAACATGTTGCCCAGTTTGACAGTGAAATAAAGCTGAACTAGAGAGGATATCTAATCACAGCATTACAGTTGGATTAAACTAATCTGTTTATTAGGTTATCATAGCATTCTTCATTTGGAAACTTTTAATTATCATTATAGACAACTTTTTTCACATCTAACATAAAATCAATAAAAGGGAATAGAAAATATTAGAAAGGAAAAAATAGAAGGGTTTTAGAAAATCCAGAGAATTGAAAGGAAGAAAGAGAGAAAAAGAAAGACAGGTTAGAAAAAAAAAAGAAGAAGAAGCACCGAGGCATGGTGGTGCATCCCTGTAATCCCAGCACTTGAGAGGCTGAGGCAGGAGGATCACTGTGAGTTCAAGGCCAGCCTGGACTACATAATGAATTGAAGACCAGCCTGAACTACATAGTGAGACCCTGTCTCAAAAAACCAAAGAGAACTAAAGAATAAACCCTAAGCCTAAGCAGTCCAGGTTTTTTCTTTAGATCAGTGATTTCTTACCTGCTGAGGTATAATATATTTTAAAGTTCATTATTTGATATTTATATAAGCTAAATTCAGTTTTTCTTTCTCTGCTTTTTTTTTTTTTGGTATTGGGGATCGAACTCAGAACCGCTGAGCTAAATCCCTGGCCCTTTCTCTGATTTTTTGATTGCTTATTTCCTCCTAGGTGGACTCCCATTATTGTCCCAGTTGCTTAGAAAATATGCCATCGGCTGAAGCCAAACTAAAAAAGAACAGGTAAGAATAGGATCAGTTGTCTGTTTTCCTCACTTTTTAAATATCTAGTAAAGAAACATGAAATTAATTTTCTTTTTTAAGATAGCTTTTTTCCATTTTTTAGTATCACCACGGCCTGTGATGGATGTTCTTTGATTTTAAAATAAATGTTGTCTTTTAGAAGAGTTTTATACTTAAGAATTATTTTTGAAGATAGTGCAGAGAGTTCCCACACCCAGTCTTCTCTATTGTGTCTCTCCTTAGGCTTTGCTTGGCTATGACAGTTTATTAGAATATCTTTGATTTTCACAGTCTTGAAAGTTTTGATCAATTGGGATTTGTGTGGTATTTTCCTTATGATTTGGATATATATACTGGGGAGAAGGACTACAGAAGTAAAGTGCCATCTCTCATCACATTGCATCAAGGATAAACACTGTCGGCGTGATTTGTCCCCATGAATGTCAACCTTGACTACCTGACAGGAGTTAGCATTTGTCTTGTTTCTCTACTCCAGTGCTACTTCCCCACCCTTGCTGTACTGTATTCTCTAGAAAGAAAACCACGGTCACAACCCACACATAAAGGGTGGGAAATTAGGCCTCCCTCTCTTAGAGGCTGACTACATAACTATTTAGGCTTTCCTTGCATGGAAGATCGGTTTCTTCTTTATATTTTATTTAATCATTTACTTAAAAGACTATGGACTCTTGAATATTTATACTTTGAGTTGTAATTCCATACAGAGAGATAGATTTTTTTCCCCTAAAAATGTTCCAACTGTGGCCATTGAGAGTTCTTTCTGTTTACTCCTTATTCCTTTTACATACCCCTCTTACTGGGAGTAGGGAGAGTGTTCTGTTCAATAGTTCGAGTGCCTTCTTACTAGAACTTCAAGCTCATCTTGTGTATTTTTCTGCCCCAGAATTAACCACTTCTCAAAGGAGCCTTGGTTACTTTGATTGCAGAATGGTATTTGATTCTGCTAGATGTGCTCATTACTGCTGCCTGCGATTTAATCTTCACTTTGGTGTAAAAGTCCTTTTGCTGTCAGTCACATTCTTGTACTTCTTGGATGTGAACCACTATTTTCTTTCCTGCCTCAAGAAAAAGCCTATGATAATGAAATACTGTTCTGTATGCTTTTCACATGTTAATTTTAACATTTAATCCTTAAAGTATATCTGTAAGGTGGGCACTATTATTATCCTTCCTTGAGGAAAATATTCAGATAACAAAATACCACAGATAATGGAAGTAGTACAAGACTGGAGATGCTTCTGAACTATTCCAGTCTGTGATAGCATTGTCTAGTATCTGTTTCAGCTTTCTAGCATAGCAGGTAAGTAGTTATTTTCCAAATCTAGTTTCACAGCTTCTTCATTGATTCTGTTTTTCATTGTACACTTGTTTTGTCCTCTAAAGACATAAGCTGTGACATTTATCTTTCCTAGAGAAACTTTTTTGACCTCTATAAAGCATAAAAAGAGTCTGGAATAGTAAAATCCACCTGTTAACAGTAACTTCTTCTTTGGATTAGGATTAGGTCACTCTCTTAATTCTTCGTAAACCATGGTGATAATTTCATATTTTTAGAAAATAATTAACATATAATAGATTCAAAATGTTGAAGTTGATAAGAAGCCCCCTGAGGAATATTTTATTTTTTTCTTGAGATACACTCTTGTTTGTATTTGTTCTCTTTAATTTTTGACTTCTAGAACAATAGCAGTACTTGGCTGATAAGTATCGTTGAACTAGTGAATGGTTGTATTTGTAATGTCACAGATGTGCCAATTGCTTTGACTGTCCTGGCTGCATGCACACCCTCTCCACTCGGGCAACAAGCATCTCCACACAGCTTCCAGATGACCCAGCCAAAACCGCCATGAAGAAAGCCTACTACTTGGCCTGTGGATTTTGTCGCTGGACGTCTAGAGATGTGGGCATGGCAGACAAATCTGTAGGTAAGTCAGGTGTACATGAACATGAGATGTTGTGCGACTGTTAGCAGTATCATTGTCCATAGACTATTATTTCTGTTAGGGCAGTAGAAGCTAAATGTGTTGTTGTTAAGTCTTCTGTATGCCTGTATTCTCCACATTATGGACCATGATGTCTCTTCTGAGACAGAGTAATACTATTTAGTTTTCTTAGAGTTGGTGAAATAGCTATTACAAATCTGATACTTCCATAGAATCAGACTAGTTTTTTTGTTTTGTTTTGTTTTTTGGTACCAGGGATCGAACTCAGGATCTTGAGCTTGCTAGGCAGGCACAGTGACACTGAGCTAAATCCCCAGCCTGAATCAGACTAGTTTTTAATGAATATTCCTGTTATTGAAACACACCATGGACCAAATTAAAAGATAAAAGTGACAAGAAAGCAGACTAAAGATTAATAACCAAAACAGGAATCCTTATAAATCAGTATGAAAAAAACTCAGGAAAACAGGCAAGGAATATGAGCAGCAACTCATAACAGAATAAAAATGGTTAATAAATATGCAAAAAGTTACATTCAAATTCAATAGTGATCATGATAAAGCAAATTAAAGCTTCATGTCTTTGGAAAAAATTTTTAAATCTGGTTATTTTTAACTCTGGTTGACTATAGCAGAAGAAAATAGTTCTCTCATAGCCTCCCATTTTAGAGAGCAGTTTGGCATGTATTAAAATTTTAAATTGCTTTTGTCCTGCCCAACAGGTCCATGTCTGGCTATATCTTAGAGCATCCAAACATGCAAATAGCAAACATATATGTTTCATAATATGTGTGTGTGATTTTGTGTATGTGTGTGTGTGTGTGTGTGTGTGTGTGTGTGTATGTATGTATGTACGTGGAGTCCACCAAAAAATGTATATACACTTCAGGAAAAGAAAAACTTGTATAAAATATTTTTTAATACTGAATTTATTGAGACATCATGAAATCAATACAAGTTACCTTTGGCTTCTACAATTACAAGAGGTGCTCAAAGTGGTAGCCATTAGCTTCCAGACATTTATTAGTACAGCTGACTGCTGCTTGGGTAACCTTGGTTATGGAGATTGCTGCATATGCATTTTCACTTGCTTCTCTAAGAGCCAGCAGTGTATGCCTGCCTCAAAATCATAAGGTCCTGAGTTCAGTCCAAGGTACTGGCTGGGGTGGGGTGGGGGAGCCAGCAGTTTAGTGGATTTTCTGTTATATACAATGTCCTGTAGGACCCCCCATATGAGGGTAACACCGTCTGTTGAAAAAATGTACTTTTTTTCCCTGAAGTGGGTATACATTTTTATTTATATTTATTTATCAGCAGAGCAGGAAAAATTTGTGTGTCTGGATTTAAAGACCACATCCTATAATCAGTCCAAAATTGTGAGTCACTATTTATGCTTTGTATAAATGGTAGCATTGCTAATCCCCATTGTCATTTTCCTTACTTTCTGAAAGTGAGTTTTCTGAAAAGTTTTTCCTTATAAAAATTCTCATTTTTTGATTTTCGTAAAAATTACAGCTTATTAATAAATGGGAGAGCCCATAATATACTCATTATATGTCATTTTACATATCTAAAATGAAGATGACTTTAAGTCAAACCTTCTTGTAGACTTTTACACAATTTGGAAATAAATGTAAATGAAATTTAAAATTATAGTCCTCAATTTTGTGGTGTTTGCATTTGGTTACAATATTTGAACTATATTGTTTTTCTGACATCATACATTGAGTTGGTAAAGTAAAATACATGCTTTTAAAAAGTAAACAAATATATCTTAGTTATCTAAAAATGTTTATTGATGGCTCAATATTTACCTGAAATTTGATTTAATATTTTCTAGCAGTGCTAGGGATCAATCTCAGGGTGCTACAAATGTTAGGCAAGTATTCTGCCACTGAGCTACACCCCCCAGTCCTTGTAATTTATATTAGAAAGATTCTATATCTTTTTAGATTACCACTAAATATTTGTATTATGTTTTGATATCAGTGCAGCGGGTAAGTTAGAATTTGTCAAAGAATTTAATGTCAAAAACTGTCTCAAAGTGGCATAGTATATGCCTCAGGAAAAGTAAGTTTTTATTTATTTTCCTTATATCTAGTAAAAGAAACAAAGCCCAGAAAACCAGATAAATATCTCAGTTTGTTACTTTGTAAGTGAATGTTTTGAAGAATTTGTTTCAGAACTTAATACTTATGATAGCTTCTGGAAACCTGCCTCTTCTGGCTCATTTTCCCCTCTCCCTCTCCTCCAGGATATCTTAACAGTGATAATTCATTTCCTCCATAATGTCATTGGTATCTTAAGATGCCCTGAAACTGCTTTAGTTAGAACTATTTGCTTAAGTATTTGTCCATAGTGTACAAAAAAATGTAATGAGATCATTGTCAGTCTCCCAAATTGACATGTACAATAAATTACCAATTCTGAAGAAGCAATTAGATAAAACAAGCAGACTTGGGCTGGGGATTTAGCTCAAGTGATTTCGCCACCTGCTGCACAGGCACAAGGACTGGAGTTCGATCCCTGGTACAAAACAACAAAAAACAAGCAGACTTTTTTAAATATTCTTCAGGATTACCTTATGGCAACCTTTAAGATTTTCATATTGTTACTATTTGATTCCTGGCTGGTAGATCTTAGCTAAATCTTAATGAGAGAGTGGTGCAGTGTGTAAATAGTGCTTCTTCCCCTTTAGTATAGCTGCTTTTAGGGTAGAAAAATGGTTTTAAAAAACACTGGTTTCTGGGCCAGGGATTTAGCTCAGTCATTTCGCTGCCTGCTGAGCAAGCACAAGGACCCGAGTTCGATCCCCAGTACCAAAAAAAACCAAAAAAAACCACTGATTTCTCACCAAATGGGAGTGTTCTCTGTCCTGCACAAGAGTATCTCCTAGAAAGATTTGTGCTAAATTCATTATGAGATCAGAAAGTACCATGCCTTTGCCCACTTAGCACCTGAAGATGTGTGGATGAAAACTTGGTGTTAGGCGTGAGGTTGAGCTTATTCTTGATATTTTTTACTTTGACTCTTTGAAGTATGATAATTTTCAGAACACAAGCTGGTTTCATTTCACATAAAATTGTCATACTGTCGTCTTTTTTTTTTCCATACTGTCACCTGGTAACTGTATTGAGCTTTAAAAATGCATACTAAAGAATCGTGAAGGTTTAAGAAAAAAAAAACCTTTAAAATATTTGTGAGTGTTTGCATAGTCCCATCGTATAGAGCGTTCTAGTCATTGAGATGTATATTTAGTGAGAAAATTCTACATGTCCAGTACAACCTTGCTCATAATTCTGGTGGATTGTGGTGCTAACCCTTGTAAGTCTACACACTGCAGGTACCTGAAGATCATGTGAGTGTTGCACCTGTGACGATGAGGCTGTTTTGTGAAAACTTCCTGTAAAGCCATGTCTTGCAGGTCCTCTTACCATCCATCCTGGACGAGTCACATCTGACAGTGTCTGACAGGTTGAGAGTGGCAAAACTCTCATGGGTGGGCACCCAAGCCACTCAACCCCACCACTATGAACAGTTGGACTTTCTCGCTCGCTTAGAAAACAGATTCGCGTTTGTACTTACCACTGAAAACTCCAAACGGGGGAGGTGGATCTAGAAGACAATATTGTGCACCACCCTCCCTTTTTTTAAGTAGAAGAAAAATGAACACAATTTTTGAAGAATTTTTAAAGCACCCCAAAACAAATAAGTCAGTATCCACTTCCTATGTTCAAGTCCTTAATGGTTAAGATTTCTTTTCCCTTTTTTAAAAAAGAGTGGCCGTTATCTTTTGATACTTAAAATTACCTATGAAATTTTTAAAGTTCTAATAATTTTATGTCATACCTTTATCCTTTTTTTTTTTTTTTTGGTACTGGGGATCGAACTTGGGTCCTTGCGCCTGTGAGGCAGGCGCTGGAACCACTGAGCTAAATCCCCAGCCCAGTCATACCTTTATTATTCTAAGAACTAATGTGGCTTTAATCATATTTCTAATTCTTGGGACAAAATGCAAGATAGTGAGATAGTTCAAAATTACCTTTCAGGGCCGGCCGGGGATTTAGCTCAGTGGTTCCGCTGCCTGCCTTGTAAGTGCAAGGTCCTGAGTTCCATCCCTGGTACCAAAAAAAAAAATTACCTTTCATGTTGGAAAATGTCTAAAAATGTTTGAGAATCCAGTGATGTTTTTAAAATGCTACATAAATCTTTTTAAATTTTTAAATTTTTTTTTTTTGAGGGGGGTATCGGGCATTGAACTCAGGACCTTGCGCTTGCAAGGCAGGTACAGTGCCACTGAGCTAAATCCTTGGTCCAAATTTTAAGTAAAACAATCTGTCCTAAACAAAGATTTCATATTGTATTAAAAGATGTTATTTAAGGGCCAGGGATTTAGCTCAGTGGCACCGTGCCTGCCTCACAAGTGCAAGGTCCTGAGTTATCCCCAGTTCCAAAAAAAGATATTATTTAAGCCATTACTTGGAAGAAAATTAAATGTCACCTTCAGTGAGGTAATTAAGAATCTTTTTTGTTTTGGAGAAAAAGAAGGTATTTTTGATTATATAAATAAGATATTTATGCACTTACGACCCAGCTTAAGAAATGAAATATAACCAATACAGTTTGAAGCCCTCAGGTAGCCTTGCTCCTACTGCATCCCCTTTTCTCTCTGCCCCAGCCCGCCTACATAATAATCACAGTAGTGAAGTCAGTGTTTACTAATGTCCATGCATGTCTTTATACTTCTCCACATCTGTGTATAGCCACCAGGAATTTTCAATTTTAAGCAAATGGAAGCATACTGAATATATCTTGCTACCACTTTTCTCTCAACATTGTTTTCCATTCATTGTGGTGAATCAGTCATGAGTTACTGGACTATACTTATTCAACACCCCCACCCCTTTTTGCTTTTCTTTTTTTTTTTTTCTGTTTTTGGTCATACTGGGGAATGAATGCTCATTCCTCTTTGCAATCAGCGCTGGCCCCACACCTGCTAACCCCTCACTACACTGATAGGCTTTCTGTCACTGTAATTTTGCCTTTCCTAGTTTATATAATTGGAGTCTTGTAGTACATTGTCCTTTGTTTCTAGTTTCTTTTTAGCATAATGATTTTAAGTTCCATCCATGTTTTTGCTTTATATTGTTTTTATTGTTTCTATTGTGTGAATATTTCAGTTTGTTTATTCATCGACTGTTGATGGGCATGTGGGTTAGTTTTTAGTTTGAAACTTAAATGAATAGAACTGCTGTGAACATTTGCCTATGAATCCTTGTGTAAAATACATGTTTTCATTTTTCTTAAGGAAATACCTAGGAGTAAAATTTCTGGGTCATCGGATAAATGTATGTTTAACTTAACTAGAAGCTGCCAAATTATTTTTCAAAGTGCCTCTACAATTTGGGGTCCTAACCAGCAAAATAGTCTAATCCCTTGGCAACCCTTGATATTTCAGTCTTTCTCATTTTTGTCATTCTGCTGCATGTATAATGATACTTGGTTATGACTTTAGTTTATGTTTTCTTAATGTGTTTATTTGCCATCCATGTATCATCTTTGGTGAAGTGTTTACTAATATTTTGCCTATTTTTTTTAATTGTTTATTCTTTTTGGGTCTTTTCATTGAGTTGTAAGAGTTCTGTGTTTGGATGTTAAGTCCTTTGTTGCATATATGTTTTGTTTTGTTTTTTGGTACTGGTAATCAAACTCAGGACCTTGAGCTTGCCAGGCAGGCACGGATGTTACATATATGTTTTAAAAATATTTTTTCTCAGTCTATAGCTTGCCTTTTCATATTCCAGTATCTTTTGAAGAACACAAGGTTTTAATTTCATTGAAGTTCAGTTATCAGTTTTATAGTTTGTGCTTTGCATGTCTTGCTGAGGAAACTTCTGTCTAACCCAGTGTCACCAGGATTTGCCCATGTCTTCTAGGTATGATGTGGTTTTACATCTTCACTCTGTTGCCCAATCCAGGGTGGGTTTTGCATATGTTGTGAGGTAAAGATAGAGGGTTGGTGTTTTTTTTTAATGTGGGTATCTAAAAGTTACAGCATCATTTGTTGAAAATTTTCATTACGATTTTCCTTTCAACTCTCTCAAATAATCTTTTCTTTCATTATTTGTACCAAGTGTTAATTCTATAAGAAATTCTCTAGCATCACAGAACATAGGACAGTGATGGTGAACCTTTTTAGAGACTGAGTGCCCAACCTGCAACCCAAAACCCACTTATTTATGCCAAAGCGCCAGCACTGCAATTAAACCCTGATGCTTGTCTGCTGGGGCGACTTGGCTCATGTGGTGACAGAGAGGGTTCTGTGTCTCCACTCCCACATGCATGCCTATAGGTTCACCACCACTGACAGGGGATTTACATCATGTTGCAGATAAGAATAGGGGTTCTTGCTGGGCGTGATGGCTCATGTCTGTAATCCTAGCACTCAGGAAGCTGAGGCTGGAGGATCACTGTGAGTTCAAGGCCAGCCTGGGCTACATGGTGAGACCTTGCCTCCCCCCTCCCACCCCACCCCCCAAAATACAGAATAGAGGCTCTGGAGTCAAACCACTTGCTTGAGTTTGAGTCCTAGCAGTACCACTCACTATCCGTGCATTTTGGGGCAGGTTATTTATCAGCTCTAAGCCTGAGTTTGCTCATCTGTAAAATGAGACTAACCAAGCATTGTGCTGGTACCTGTTTTACCACGTGTAATTTTTGTTATACATCACAGTTCTTAATTTGTTTAGAGTATATGAAATGTGGTGTAATTTTTATTGACAAGAGCAAAGTAATCTTACAACTATGTGCATACAAAACCAATACTATTTTGTGACTAAATATTTTATATTAAAATTTATATCAGCATTTATCTTTAGATTTCAGGGAAATAGAGTGGAATTTAAAACTTCAATAGTTTTGTTAAGCCTAGAAACATGAAATTAGTATTCCAAAGAGATTCTGAAATTTCATATCTTGGGGAAATGACAGTACATTAAATCAAAATTGAGGATGGATGATTTAAGAATAACATTAGACTTTTGAATAATAAAAGAAAACAGTAAGAGAGGGAAAAAAGAGTTCCTACCTCAGAAATTATTACAAGAATAGAAAGAAATATTAATACTTTTCAAGTACCTGGTATACATTAGTGGTGGAAGTAGTGACCATTATCACCAACATCATATTTAAAGAAAAAATGTTATTTTGAGTATGCTAGTCTATAAAATTTCTAGGATTCTTTCTTGGAAATTCTATGATTTTATGTTTTTAAGTATTTTTATTTTGTGGCCTACACATGTCCTATTTTTATGAAAATAAAATGATCAAATTATGAAAGTCTTATTTAATGTTCCTTTATTTTCTAGCTAGTGGTGGTTGGCAGGAACCAGAAAATCCTCACACGCAACGGGTAAGTAAAGGATAATACAGGGCCAGGAATTTAACTCAGTGGTTCCGCTGCCAGCTTCACAAGCGCAAGGTCCCAAGTTCCATCCCTGGTACCCCCCAAAAAATCATACAATATAGAGAATAAAATAAGAAAAGATACTGTAAAACACTGAGGTTCTATTTTCTCAATGGATATAACTTACACCTAGAAATCCAGAATATATGTTTCGTTATCTGTTACACATAGAAAATATTTCTCATTGTTTGGGTTGGGTTGGTTTGGTTTGGTTTTTTGAGACAAGGCTAGCTGTGTGTCCCAGGCTGGCCTAGAACTCACTGATCCCCTGCCTCTTCCTCCACAGTGCTGGGATTATAGGTATGACCATCACACCCAGCTTAAAGAGTGTTTCTCCTTTAAGACATTAAATCACATTATCACATCTTTTTCATTGATTTAGAAAAATCTAGGTGTAGTTTTTTCTGTATTTGAACTGTATGTCATAAGAAGGAAAGAAAATAATTTTTGTTTTTCACACACCAGTGAATGAAGGTTTCATTTGTTCTCAAATAGTCTTGGAAATACACACATGTAGACATTTCAACCCCTGGAATCATTACTAATTTAGAAAATACCATTGAAGCCGGCAATGTAGTTGAGTGGCACTGAGCCACTGAACTCAGGAGTGGTTGCTTATATGGTCATGACTTGAGTATCCTTTAGTTCATAATTGATCTCTGCAGTAGGTACTGTGGCTGATTGTTTACCCTTCACTTGGACTAGAATATGAGAAAGATGAACTGTTATAGAACTAAAAAATGTACAGAGTGCAGAGTAATTGATAATTACTCACCTATGACTCAGCAGAAATTAGAAATACTGAAAATATCCTGGTGAGAGTATGGAGAAAATGGTTTTTCTCATACATACAGTTGTATTAGTGTAGGTTGAACTACTTACAGGACTCTTACCTACGGGAATAGCTTGCACTTTATGCCTCTGTGTGTGTGTGTCAAACATTTATCAAGATGCTAAGGACTATGCTGAACAAATTTGCTGCTGACATAGAGGTTAAGTCTAATGGAAAAAAAATGAGTGTCCTCAGATTTTAAAAAGCCTATGGTAACTAATATGAGGGAAGGATAAATCATGCCATATAAACATTTCTTAGAGAGGGCTGGGGATTTAGCTCAGTGGTTTCAACTAGTTAGGTCCACATCTGAGGACTGTACTGAGAAATGAGGACAATAAGAACAGGGAGGGAAGAATTCAAAGCAGGGGAATAGCACATGCAGTATTTGTAATTGCAGAAAGTAAAATCATGTACTGTAATACATAAGAAAGGGATTGTAACCAGGTGTGGTGGTGCATGCCTGTAATCCCAGCACTCGGGAGGCTGAGGCGGGAGAATCCCTACGAGTTCGAGGCCAGCCTGGGCTACATAGTGAGTTCAGGGCCAGTCCAAACTACAAAGTGAGACCCTGTCTCAAAAAAAAAAAAGGGATTGTGAGACAGATGTGGTAGCACACACCTAATAATCCTAGCACTCCGGGAGGCTGAGGCAGGAGGATTACAAGTTGAAGGCCAGCCTGGGCTACATAGCTAGACTGTCTTTAAAAAAAAAAAAAAATTTTCAATCTTTCCATTGCTGATTTTTTTTCTGTTGTTGAAGATTTCAGTTCAGAAAATAGATCATGTAATGAAGAAAAGTCTTTAAAGAAAAAAGGCAAATTTCCCCATTCTTAATAATTGGTCTTCTCTGTTTATTATGTGCCTAATCTGTAAGTGGATTAATTTTGTCTTTCCTGTTATCTTTTTCATGCAACAAAGACTGATTCTTTGATTTCTTATAGATGAACAAACTGATTGAATATTATCAGCAGCTTGCTCAAAAAGAAAAAGTTGAACGAGATCGCAAGAAACTGGCACGGCGTAGAAACTATATGCCTCTGGCTTTTTCGGTGAGATATGGTACCAGAGGAATTTGTAAGACCTATGAGTCATAAGAACAGTGACCATTTCTGAAAATGGCCATTGTCCTAGATACCTGCATGGTGGATGGCAGCGATGGTCAAGCCCAGCAGTTACACTTTTCCCATATTATTAGTTCCATTTGAATTTTTTGTGTCTTAGGGGGAATATTTGCATTTCTTCTCCACTCTCCTTTCTTTTTTATTCGCCCCCTCCAAAAGGCTACTGTTTAATTTTATAGGCATTGCAGAGCTCAACTTGCAGCTTTTGCATATTGCAGAAAGTCTGAGAAGAGGAAGGGGGCAAGTGGCAGCTTTTACTCATATTAAACATGTGGCCCACCTCTGACACCATGGAAGTTTCCCAGCTCTAGTCATCATAATTTTTTTGACCCTAGCCCATATTTTTCCAACATGAGAAACACTGACTTTACATAGTGTATTTGCCTGATCAAATAAATATTAACATACTTGAAATTTTTGGCTGGAATTATTTATCAAAGTCATGTACCACTTTATACACAATGAGGCAGATTCAAAAGAGATCAGGATTTTGAATTTTTGTTACTATTCCTCAGGTCTTTTTTGTTTTGTTTATTATTTATCATTGTTGTTTTTTGCTTTCACAGAACAATTTGGGTTTTTTTTGGTACCGGGGATCGAACTCGGGTCCTTGTGCTTGCACAGCAGGCAGTGAAACCACTGAGCTAAATCCCCAGCACAATTTGTTTTCTCTGTGCTTGCTTGGGGCTCAGCAGGTTGACATTTAACAAATAACATTGAATGGCAATGACATGTCAACATTGTCCTAAGCACTTTATATATATATTTTATTTAATCCTCACAAGTGGTATAATATTGTATCCCTGTTTTACAATTGAGATGAGACTTGAGAAAGTTAAGTAACTTTTCATACTGTGTCCACATGAGAATTAAACCATTAAAACTTTAAGAATGGCTAGAGTCCATATAGTAATATTTACACTCGAACTTAATAAAACATTAACCCTTGTAAAGCACCTACATTTACCAAAGAAGTGCATTTTTCTGAATAGTGCAATGGTATAATCAGCATATGCATGACAGTGTATTGTATTTAGGAGAGGAATTTGAATTAAATGCATTATTTTTCCAACTTTCCCATATACCTGCCTGCTGTTGAGTTTGCTTCTATCTTATGCTACATTTTTTTGTCTCTGTTGCAACCTGCTGCTATTTTGGGGCTCTACAGCAACATACTATTCATGTAGTGGTAAGTTCTCTTTTATGATTCTTGCTGACCCTGAAGAAGTTAGCAAATGGTTAGCAGAAGTATACCAGCAAGAAATTCACCATGTGTCTTGCCTGGGCCATAGCTTAGATATTTTTAGATTAATAGTAAAAGCTCACATTTGGTTCAGTTTTACTGTATTAATGTAGTTTCAGTCTTGTGTTTGGTGCTTTTATCATTTTAAGAATAGAATAGTGATGTGGTGCTACAAATTATTCTTTAAAAAGAAGCTTTTAAATTAGCTTTTTTGTTTTGTTTGCTTATTTCCTTAAGCTTTTCAGGCCGTCCCACCCCAAATACTTTGTTTCAATAAAAATGACATGTAAATACAAACTTCCTAATAGGAATTTCTGAACTTTGTTTAGGACAAATATGGTCTTGGAACAAGGCTTCAGCGGCCACGAGCTGGTGCATCCATTAGTACCCTTGCTGGACTTTCGTAAGTTTGGACATTAAATGACTTGGAGGAAAAATGTTGGTATCAAAATATTTAAGGAATGTGATTTTTTTTTTCCTTAAGGAATGTGATTTTTTTAAAGGGGAAAAGAAAAACAGTTGCCAGTAGGAAAAGGATTGTCATACTTAGAATAAACTGAGGAGAATCATATGGACTCTTGAGAAATTATTACTTTTTACCTTTTAGCCTTAAAGAAGGAGAAGACCAGAAAGAGATAAAGATTGAGCCGGCTCAGGCTGTAGATGAAGTGGAGCCTCTACCTGAAGACTATTATACAAGACCAGTAAATTTAACAGAGGGTAATTTTACACTTTCTGCTTTGTTTCTATTCTGCATGTTCTACTTTTTTTTTTTTTCTTTTGGTACCGGGGATCGAACTCGGGTCCCTGCGCTTGCGTAGCAGGCTGCGAAACCACTGAGCTAAATCCCCAGCCCTGCATGTTCTACTTTTGTTACTTACATTTCTGTGGTGGGAGACTTTTAGTGGGATAGGTGTTAGTAGCAAAATGATATGCAGAAAATAAAATAGATGTAATAGATATAAAATGAAGAACTTTAAAATGCCTGTCCAGTTTCTATACTGTAGGTTTTCTAACGGTATTCATAATGACAGTATTCCTTGATGTCACTGGCAGCTGCATTTAAGTCTGCTTTTGGAATTGACTGTAAACTAAGCCTGGTTCCTGCCTTTCATGTAGTGACCACTCTTCAGCAGCGCCTCCTACAGCCTGATTTCCAACCAATCTGTGCTTCACAGCTTTACCCTCGACACAAGCATCTTCTGATCAAACGGTCCCTGCGCTGTAGGGTAAGTATTCTTTTCTGTTGAATTGCCATTTGCACAAGAGAAAAGGAAAAATAAACATGTAGTAAACATAGAAAACACTTATACCAAACATACCAGATACCCAGGCACTATTTTAAATGCTTTCAATATAAACCAATCCTCACAATCCTATGAAGATGGGTACTATTGTTTTCCCTATTTTATAGATGTGGAAACTGAGATATCTGAAGATTATATATACAATGCTAACCCCTAAAAGAATATTAAAGAAATATATGACTTTTAGAGTAGTAGAAGTGGGGAAAAAAATCAATACAAAATAAACAATTTAAAAGAAAGCAAGGAAACAGAAAAGGCACATTTCAAGTTCGAGGAATCTACAGAATAAACACTAGAGTTTCTTCAATAAATAAATTATAAAAACAAACTAAAGTAAAAGAAATCTTTTAGAGCATTACTGTCCTACAAACTTCCTGTGATGGTGGAAATAGTCTTTGTCTACACAGTTCAGCACGGTATCCATATGGCGACTGAGAACTTGAAATGTGATAGTGGAACTGAGGCACTGAATCTTTAATTCATTTAAATAACCATATGTGGCTAGTGGATAACATTACCAAATAATGCAGCTCTAGACTTTAAAAGAGATCTAAGAAGCATACAACTAAACAGAATGTGTCTATGTAGATCCTAATCCAAACAAAACATAGAAAAGGGCCCAGGGTAGAAGAAAAAGTAGGAGAAGAAGAAAGAAGAAAAAAAATTGTACTAAATCTTTGGAGAACTGTAAATATTGGTAGGATTATTTTATTAAAGAATTGTTCATTTCTTAGGAGTAATAATAGTATTGTTATTTTTTAAAATATCTTTGGGAGGGGCCGAGGATTTAGCTCAGTGGTTCTGTCGCCTGTCTTGCAAGCGCAAGGTCCCGAGTTCAATCTCCAGTACCCAAAAAAAAAAAGATATCTTTTGGAGATATATACCAAAATATTTATGGATGAAATGACATGATGTTTGATATTTATCGCAAAATAATCACGGATAAGGAGTGGGTAAGCGTACAAAAGAAGGAAGATTAGCCATTGTTGCTAATTTTTTTTCTTTTTTATTGGTATATAGTACAGTGCATAATAGTTTGTTTTAGGAAATTGTACGTGTATATTGCATCTTGATGATTTTTTGATCCCCTCTCCCTTTCCCATTTTCCCCTCTCTTAACTACCTCCCAGTTGAGTTGGGATGATAAGTAGTTAGGGTTTTATAATACCAGCTATATTTTTGTATATGTTAGAAAATTTCTGTAGTCTTTTTTAAAAAGAACGAAAGTAGGAAAATAACAAAACTAACTGATGCTTCAGATAGAAAACATACAGTTCAAAGCCTGACATTTCAGTATTTATATTCAATATCAACAAGATGCTTCCATTAAAAGACAAAAATTGTCAGTTTCAATAATAAAATACAATGACTCATCAACATGCTGATTGCAGGAAACACAAACATGAGGATTCAGAAAGGTTCAAAGTAGATGGGGAGCGAGGTATGGTGGCACATGCCTCTAATCCCAGCACTTGGGAGGTAGGAGTATCGATGAGAGTTCAAAGCCAGCCTGAACTATATAGCAAGACCCTGTTTCCAAAAAAAAGTAGATGGTGGGCTGGAGATTTAGCTCAGTGGCTCCGCTGCCTACCCTGCAAGCACAGGGACCCAAGTTAAATCCCCAGTAACAACAACAAAAAAAAGAGTAGATTAGAAAATACATATTGTACAAACACTAATTTTTTATTTTTTTTATTTTTTATTTTTTTGCAGTACCGGGCATCAGACTCAGTACCTTGCGCTTACGAGGCAGGTGCAGTGCCAGTGAGCTAAATCCCCATACAAACACTAATTTTTAAAAATGAATATATATTAGCTTTTTATTACTGTGACCAAATACCTGAGAAAAACAACTGAAGGGAAGAAAGATGTATTTGGGGTTATAGTTTCAGAGGTTTTAGTCCCTGATAGGCTGGTTCCATTGCTGTGGCCTGAGGTGAGGCAGAGCATCTTGCTGGAAGGACGTGGTATAGCAGTGCTTCTCACCTCAGGGCAGTTAGAACACAGAGAGGGAAAGAGCCAGAGAGGACAGGGCCATGGACCAGATATAGTCCCCAAGGTCACACACCATGACCCACTCCCTTCACTTAGGTCCCATCTCCTATTTCTTTCACCCCCAGTAACACCATCAAATTATGATCTCATTAGTAGATTAATCCACTGATGAAGTTAGAGCCCCCAGGATCTGATGACTTTCGAAAAGCTCATCAGTAACTGAACTTCCAACACACTGAGCCTTTGGGCAACATATTGCCAAACTATCACAGTTCATAAAGAAAAGATTCAGTTCAAAAAAAAAAAGATTCAGTTCACAAAAAAGATGTAACACTCTAAATCTGTAGGTACCAAATAATACAGACTCAAAATCTGTAAAACAACATATTCCTCTCAGTAACTAAAAACGGATGAAAATCAGTAAAGTTATATAAACAATTTAACTATAAATATGACCAAATGACCGTATATTAAAAAAAACTATCCCTAAGATCTGCGGACTATACAAAAGATGAAATTATTGAAGTTTATTATTTGATCATAATACAATTAAGTTAGAAATTGGTAATCGCTATATAGCAAAATTTGTAGGTTACAACTAATAACGTTCTTAGAGATATATAGATCTCTGTATGAAGATACAGGTAAGAAAAAAGGTTAAAAGATCTATATCTCAGCATCCATTTCAAGAAGTTAGAAAAATAATAGCAAGGAAAATCCAAAGAAACTAGAAGAAAGAACAGATACTTTATTAATAAATTAAGAATCAGTATAAAAATACAAAACCAAGCCAGGCATGGTGGCACATATGTGTAATCCCAGCACTGAAGGTTGAGGCAGGAGGATCACCACAAGTTCTCTGACAGCCTGGGGTACATAGTGAGTTCAAAGCCAGACTAAACTACAAGCAAGACTGTCTCAAACAACAACAAAAAAAGAATAATAGTAAATATTATTGTATAGATTGTTTACATAGGTGTCATTTATATAATGTACCATTAATACAGTAATATATGTATATATATAATATATGCAGCAGAATAGAAAAAACAGATTGACCCATTCATGTAAGAAAATTTGAAATTTACTTGATATGGCATTCCAGGTCAGTGGGGAAAGAATAGATTATTAAGTTTTGCTAGGTCAGTGATTATATCTGAAGAAAAATAAAATTGAGTCCCTATCTCATACCTTACACAAATAACAGTTTCAGAAACACTGGAAACTTTAAGAGCAAATATGAAGTGCAAAACTTCTAAAAGAAAATAATACCTTCATGAATTGTAGGTGGGAGAGGGTTCAATAAATAAATATATGGAGTTCTACTCAGCCATAAAGAACGAGAAACTAGAGACATTTATAGCTCAGTGGATGCATATTGAGGCCATACTCTTAAGTGGAATAAATAGAACACACATGTAAATACTGAATAGTTTGTCTAGTGTGAGAAACTGAAAGTGTAAATAAGGATTAAAATGATTTGAAATAGGAAGAAAAGGTCTGAAGGAGTAGGGGAAGTGGGAGGGAAAGGGGAAAGGAAAAATTATGAAAAAAGGAAAAAATGGAAAAAGGGAATTGTAAATAAGGAAGGGAGCACAGGGAATGGGGAATAAATAAGAACCAAGATACATCATGTACAGGTACAAGCACCCAATGATAAATGTAAACGTATACCTAAATGTACCAATAAAAGAATTTAAGCAAAAAAACGCAAAACAAATACAAACTGTAAAGAATTGTATATTTGACTGTATTGAAAGTAAATTCTGTGCCCCCATTCCAAAGAAAACTTATAAAGAAATAAAAAGGCCATACACTGAGATGAGTAATTTGAATATGTAATTAACACATGATTAACATCCAGGATATATAATGAACTTTAGCAAATTAGCAAGAAAAGCATAAGCCAATATAAAAGTAACCAGTAGATGCTAACATACAAATCATGACTGAAAAAAAATTCCAGTATCTAATGAACATGAAACCAAGAAAACATACATTTGGACCGGGGATGTAGCTCAGTGCCACCAACCCTGCCTGACAAGAAAACATACATTAAACCTGCCATGAGATGTCATTTCTTTCACACACACCCCCCATACCTGGGATCAAACTCAGGTGCCACTGAGCTAAATCCCCAGCCCTTTTTTTTTTAATGACTTTTTTTTAATCTGTCTACGTAGCACTTTTTCCCCCCGGTACCAGGGATCAAACTCAGGACCTGTGTTTACAAGGCAGGTACGGTGCCACTGAGCTAAATCCCCAGCCCTTGTCATTTCATAATCAGACTGGCAAAAGTTATCAGTTTGGCAGTGTCTGTCAAAGTAATTAATGCATACATACATGTGTGTTGAAAGGGAATTCCAGCTTAAGTGAAAAGAGCAAGGGCAAAAGAATGTATAAAATGCTCCCTCTTAAGCCAGGTGTGGAGTTGCATGCCTGCACTCCCAGTATCCTGGGAGGCTGAAGGAGGAGGATTACCAGTTTGAGCCCAGCCTGGACCACTTTAGTGACTTTTCAAGATCCTCTCTCCAATAAAAATTTTAAAAAAAGAAACCCATAGGGGTATGTAGGTCGGTCCAGAGACCCTGGGTTCAATCCCTAGTATCCAAAACAAAAATCCCAAACTTCCCTTTTATTACTGTGAAAAAAAAAAAGAAAGGTGATGTATGCTTATACTTATGTACATAGCTTGTTTGGATAGGACAGCTCTGGTGAGAGGGGAATAAGGGGACACACAGATAACAGGTACTCTTTACAATGAACATCTTTTTTTGTGCTGTTAAAAAAATTTTAACTGGTTTTAAGTATTGCTTTTTTTTTTAAAGCAGTAAATAGCACCCCCCCCCAAAAAAAAATAATAAATATTCATTACTGGTTTGTTGGGGTTTTTTTTTGGTACTGGGGATCGAACTCGAGTCCTTGCCGCTTGCGCAGCAGGCGGCAAAACCACTGAGCTAAATCCTCGGCCCTCATTACTGTATTTCAAAGTGTAAGACTGGAATTATCCTGCTTGAATTTAAGTCCCAGCTATCATTCATACTGGCTCTGTGAAGTTGTATAGATTACTCACTTTTCCTGTGTCACATTTTAGTCACCTATAAAATGAAAACATTAACAGTTACAGTAGCTACAACTTCCTCATAAAGTCGATGTGATATAAAATTCATTTAATCCAGGGAGCATATTGTTCAGCACAGAAGTCCTAACAAACACATAACAGAAGTTATAGCTAACACAGAAGTGTGTTAGTTGTTTCAGTAGTATTTTATAGTGGTTGCTTATATCTAGAAGACTAAACATCTTTTATAAATTTCAGTTGTCAGTAGCATACACTATTTCAAAACCTGTAGCAGAATAAATCAATATTTTACTAAGTGCTATCCTTCTGAATATAGCAGCTCTATGGATTAACAAAGTGTGTTCCAATTTTCCTCTGATACGTATTTTTCTTTTTAGAAATGTGAACATAATTTGAGCAAGCCAGAATTTAATCCAACATCTATCAAATTCAAAATCCAGCTGGTTGCTGTGTGAGTATTTTGGGGCTGGTGTTTTGTGTGTTACTGATTCTGGTTTTAATTTTGGTTTTTTTCAGGTGTTTTTTTTCAATACAAAATGTATTTACTCTTGGCCTAAAGAAAAGAAAATTACAATAATCTAACCATTCTGTTCTTGTTCATGTTTTCAATTGAGATGAAGTTTAAGGTAAAATCTATACACATAGAATCAAGAAAAGTGTGTCAGGAACTCAGAAATATAGTATGGTCTGGAGCAATGTGCTATGTTGTTTATTGGGTAGAATCACCAGTCATTCATTACAAATTATAAAGTACCTAAGTTTGTGCATAATCTTTTTAAAATTTAAAAATTAGTAAAGTATAGAAAATTGCCAGGTGTGATGGTACACAGCTGTAAATGACAGTTAGGTGCGAGGCTAAGATAAAAGGATCAAAAGTTTGAGTTTAGCCTAAGAGTCTAGTCTTTCAAAATGAAGACTAAAAAGGGCTGGGAATGTAGCTCAATGGTAGAGCACCCCTGACTTCCAAAGTATAGCAAAGTATATTCCCAAAACAATATTTTATTTACCTGTATCCTGATAATATGTCATTAAGCGGAATAAAAATGATTTAAGTTAGCATTAACTCATTGGGGCTTGTCAATGGAAGGGAATTTTATGTGTAAAAACCACCTTACAAATATGAAAAATATTTGAAAAATTAGCAAACTGCTGTATAACTTTAGGATAAGAGAGCCCTTCCTAAGCAAGTCAAGAAACCCAGAAACTACTAAGGAAAAGAAACACCATTGACCTTGGCAAAGTGAAACATGAAATTAACTGCAGGGTCCTGAGACAGACAGTAGAGCAGGAAGGAATGCATATTAGCACTCAGGACAAAAGTTTGATAGCTCTGGCTTGTAGAATGAAAATAGAAGGAAAAATAGAAACAAAGCTTTTGTACATAGGGAAGAGAGGGGGGCTCAGGGGATTGGAATAAAATAAAATAAAATTTATTTTAAAAAAAAAAAGAATTCCCACCAAATGGAAAAATAAAAATAGAGGCAGTGAGGTGGGAGTGAGGCAAAGGCTTTGAACCAGCATCCAATGGAAGAAAAATTCCAGATGGTCAGAAGATATATTTGAAAAGACACTGAGGTTTAATAAGAAAAGTTTAAAAAATAAATAGTATCTAGTGGCCATGAGAATGTAGGTAAACATGTATTTGCATACATTACCGATGGGATTATAAATTGCTAGAATCTTTCTGAAGAGCAGTCGGACTATCAAGACAAATTATATAGACCTTTTAACCCAGCAGTCCATCTCAGAAATCTGTTCTGTGGAAAAAGACACACTAATTAACAAAGATACACTTATAAGGATATACATTGCAACATGTTAAGGAGAAAAGCTAGAAACTGTTTCACTGTCAAGCTCATTAACTATTAGTAACAAAATTGTTCATTAAGGGGCCAGGGATTTAGCTCAGTGGTTCCAGCACCTGTGGGGCAAGTGCAAGGTCCTGAGTTTGATCCATGGTACCAGGAAAAAAAAAAAAAAATTGTTCATTAAATTGAGATACACTCCTGTAAAATATTACACAGCAGTTAAGAAAATATTAGGAAACAAAAAGGTTGGAAAATGCTGTTCTGGTGACTTAAGAGAAGCTAGTGAGGGCCAGGTATAGTGTCTGCCACTTACAGTATTTGTCTAAACTTATTTCCTTCCTTTCTGAAATGGAAGTTATGCCTCCTCAGGTTGTTGCAAAGAATCATATAAGCTATTACGTTTGCAAGTGTCAAATAACATATAAATTATTATGTTTGCGAGTGTAAATCACAATAAAATGTTTATTTTCCTAGCTAGTATTATTTAATACATGATAGGAAGGAAGAAAACAACAAAAATGACACCAGGCATGATTACACACACCTGTAAGCCCAGCTACTTGGGAGGCTGAGGCCACGGGAAAGCCACCTGGCAGTTTTAATACAGATACTCTTGCCACACCTCAGATCTGCTGAATCCAGATCCTTGGTAAGGAGGATCCTTGAATTTCAGTTAAGGTACTGAAGTAATCCTGCTGTTCACCATGAAAAGTATCTAGTTTGTGGTTAAAATGCCTTATTTCCTGGATTCTAAGATGTACTTTTTTCACTTTGTGTTTCTGCAATAGGTTTTATTTTATGTTAATATATGCACAATAACTAAAGTTTGTGCATGCTTTCTTGCAAGCACTTTTCAAAGCAGTTTGTGCACATATTGGCTAACTTACTTTTCACAACAGCCTCTAGAGATAAATGCCCTTATTTTCTTGTTTCTATAGTTGAAAAACCAAATCACTAAAAGCATCGGTTTTAGAAAGCAGTATCTTGATCTGTAAATACTAAACTGGGATTTGATGCTGGACAGTTTTGAGTCCAGACCAAGCACACTTAAATACAGATTTCTGCTGTCTTACTTAGAAAGGCAGCATAACATAGAGGTCAAGAGTAAAGACATTAAGCAAGACTGCCTGGATGTGAAATCCTGGTATTGTCACTTACCATGCCCAGGATGTACATTCTAATAATGGAAATACAGCAGTACCTTAGTACTTGTCAATTGGTTCCAGGAGGCATGACAACTTACCAAACTGTTTTGGCTGTAAAGGATAGTAAGTCATAAGGCAGTTGATCCCAACAGATTCTAGCTACATATGGAATACCAAACAAATGATGAATGTGGTTTAAAACTGTCTCATCTAGATGCAAGTACCAAATTTGGCAAGCTTCAAAGCACTTGAGTAATACCAAGGTATGACTATAGTAGTAACAAGACCTGATTCATGAAGTTGCCATGAAGATGACGTGAAAAAATACCTATAAGGTACTTAGAACATTGCTTGGCATGTGGTAAGAATATGTTTTTACAGCCCTACAACATATTATTACATGAGAGTTGGATCTTACAACCAATTACCTTCTAGAATTATAAAAATGAATTATTAAATAAGATCCCCAAAATATAATAAATCCCCAAAATAAATCTAATAATACTGAAAATATCTGTCATGATACACACACACGTATAGGCTCTAAACTAGCTCTATATGGATAGGCTATGATCGTAAGATTTCAGATAGAATTCATAATTGGTTTGATTTCATATCTGGTCTCTTACTATGGTAATATGATTCTTTAAATTTCTTTTTCTTTTACATATTCTAATTAACATGAAGAATTTATTTGTCACACTAACTTAAAGAGAAGTAATAATTTCGAAAAACTCCAGTGACCATTAATGGATTTTTTTTTTATTCATTGGTAGCAATTATATTCCAGAAGTGAGAATCATGTCAATTCCCAACCTTCGCTACACGAAGGTTAGTACCTTCCTTATTGACAGAACTGACTGACAAAGGATGTGTATGGGGCGGGATGGGTATATTTGGCATGGGTTGCAGTGAGCAAGGTATAGAAAACAAAGAATAATAAAGGAATTGTGACTTTAAGTTTCTCAAACTTGGATTCTTGACAGTAACACCTTTGAAATGTATGTGGAAGGAGCAGGGTGGACATTCTGTAAAGGTGGAATCTTAGGTGGGGAAAGGAACAATAATGACGTGGCCCCCTGCAGGCATCTTTCCCTTCTCTCCAGCCTGGAAATTCTCCCTGGCCTCATGTGTTTATGCATCCATGACCACGAATGAGCTAGGTTTCTTCTTTACCACACCCCCTCTCTTCCCTGGAGCCCTCATTCATACCTCTTCCTACATCTCCCCCAGTGAATTATAGAATGCTCTGCAGCAGCCTCTTTATCTCTTCCTTTCCTGTTGCTCATGAGAATATTTATATAGTCCCTGTTCATTTGAAGGAGTATTTTGCTGACCTCGAGAAAGTACCGAATAAGAATAAGCCATCATGACTCAAGAAGTCTTAAAGGATTTTTTATAAGACTGGGTATATCATTATTTCCTGTGTTGACATATCTGGCTAGGCTGTGGTTCATATATTATTTATGGGGCTTCCTTCTTTTCAGTCCTTCAGTAGTAACCTTACTGGGACAGTCACTTAGATGATGTATATTCCTCAGAATTTCTGGATCTAGTAACTGGCTCTTTCTGTAAGATCCATCTCATTTCCTCAGTGAAATAGCAACTCTAGAGAGTACATAGCCTAACATATAGATAGCAGAATAGAGATCAGTGAGCACTCTGAGAATGCAGCCATGCGGAATATAGGTAGGCATCTGCTCAGGAGTGATGGGGGAGATAATTTTGTAAAATATTTGGTATAGCAGCTAAGCATGGCACATGTCTGAGAGATGCTTTTCTTCTTCCCAGGAGAGCCAGGTCCTCCTGACTCTTACGAATCCAGTGGAAAACCTCACACATGTGACTCTGTTGGAGTGTGAGGAGGGGGACCCTGATAAAACGAACAGCACTGCTAAGGTAGGTATTTTGTCTCATTGTGACACACTCTGCCTATGGCCACAGTAGCTTCATGTGACCCAGCTTTAAAAAAGATTCCACATCCTCACTCATTTCCACCTCTACTCAGCAAGTTCTTCTGATTCTACTTCCTAATGTTTTAACTTTATCCCCAGATACATTGCCACTACCCTGTTTGACAGTCTCGTCATTTACCTGGTCTGTGACAGTAGCTTCCTACCTGACCTCACTGTTTTTTAGCACACCCACTTCCATTTCAGTCCATCTCTGTTTTGACACCAGGGTGATTTTTCTAAAATCTAACCATGCACAGCATGCTGATCAGTTAGTATCTCACTGACTTTAACATGAAGTCCAAATTCTTTGGCATAGCATACCAATGACTTCTGACTATTCTTCCAGCATGACCTTGCTCCAGATCCGCCAATTTAGCATTCTCTAGATTGTCGATATTAGTGATTGTGACCCAAGCAGATCCAATGGATTCAGAACTTTTCATGCTGGAGAAATGTATACTCTGTTCATTGTACCTAGAATGCCTCCTGAAGGTCCCTTTTTCTCTAGCATGTATGCCCTTTCATTTGTCAGGATTCATGTGAAGCATCACCTCCTTTTGAAAGCAGGTACAAGTATGTCTTTTCTAGATTCCATCTCCCCACATAAAGTATACATAACACGTACTAAAATCATGATTTTTACTTACAGGTTAGTTGAATAAATGAAATATGGCCTCTGTATTTTGTTATTGAGTGATTTCTCTAGTACTGGAAATTTTAGGATAAGAATTTTAGATCCTGAACTACTAACCCATAATTCAGCATGATACTCATAACTAAAATTGATAGAAAGGATGCCTATATCTTTAGCTGTTATTCAAATAATCTTATTAGGGAATGTCTTTATCTCTTTTTTTCTTTCTACTCTTTTATGATTTATTTCACTTACCTAGCATCACCTCTGAGGAAAGATGGGATTTATCGGCCTTGCTCCTTTTAAAAAATCACATTAATAGGCAGCTCCAGTTAGGAGACAGAAATGATTGCTTGGTATATATATACCCAGCTTGAAAATTTGCAGTCTTTCTCTCTTTATACCAGCCCTGCTACATTTGTGTGCATAATTAGAAATATGGCTGGAGTTGTTTCTGTTAGCCTCTGAGCAAATTTGAAGCAGCATAAAAATAAGTCTAAAGAAAACATAACTCTTTTCCATGACCATAAATATACCCAGTTGTCCCTGTGTTGAAACTAATGTTTCTCTTTAGTGTCTTTCTTTTTTTAAAAAAAAAAAAAAGGTGTGAACTTTTTAAAAAAAAATTTTAAATACACCAGACACTCATGTACTTCTCATCCCCCTAAGAAATAAAACCGTAAAATAAATACAAAAAAGAATTTAAAATAATATGTTAAAGACACAAATGAAGTGCCCTGCATTCTTTCTGGTTGAATTCTTTTTTGTAGTCCTATGGAGCAAGCACTTGACTTTATCATTCCCAAAAGTTTCTTCACTCTGTATATTTAGTAAGAATATCTGTATTCCTAGGCACTGTTTTTAACCTCCATATGTAAATAGTATAATGTCGTATATGTCTTGAAAGTTGCCACTTAAATACTTGGCCATGTTCTGTTGAGTGAATACCCTACAGCACACCTGTTCCCGCTGAAGCAGGCTCTGTTGCTCTCCAGGTGGTGGTGCCTCCCAGAGAGCTTGTGTTAGCTGGCAAGGATGCAGCAGCAGAGTATGACGAGTTGGCAGAGCCCCAGGACTTTCAGGATGATCCTGAGTGAGTGAGCTTTTTGGTGATCATCAAGTAACAATTGGCTAATACAGGATGCTCACTTGTATATCTCCTTTTCTTATCTGGATTGTTAAATATAATACTTTTTTCTTATAAAAATAATTACTATATAAAATGTGGGATATATATCTAGTAAAACTATCCCACTGTCAGAGATGAACACTGTTACCATTTTGGTATTTGTCCTTCTGGATACTTTTTCCATCACTGAGAATATTCTGTGAACGCTTTTTAGCCTTTGTTTTTCACTTAAATATATATTCTCGAATGTTAACAAAACTTTATATTCTTAGTTATAGTAAACAAAAAGACTAGCAATAATACTGTGGTCAATTAGATTTTATACTGAAGACACATTCTATCCAAAATACCTATTTTAAATTTTTAATACAATATTTTAATATAAACATCTGTCAGTTATAGACAAAGATAATTCCCAAAGTACATGCTGTCAGAATGAACTTTGGTAACCAGAAATGTAAAACTGCAAATAACTGACAAAATAATGTGCTATTTTTATATTGAAATAAAAAAGTAGTGACACCTTCTAGTATATTTTAGGGTACTAAAAGTCTAACAGACTTAAGGGACAAGCCAGTAGATGTTGTATCACTTGAAATTTCAAATGAATTACATTCTTACTACAGGCTTTGCGTGCTGTATGAAAAGCAGAATCTCTTTTCCTTTTCTGATTTTTTTAAAAAACTCACGCTCTTTTCCATACATCGACATAAACAATCTTTGGACACTAAATAAACTTTCCCTAACAAGTGGCCCGAGCATGTGTCATTTAGCTTTATAAAATATTAGATTTTTTAAATAATTATATTGAGTGAATTTTGTCCTTGGCATGGAGGAAGCTGATTTTTTTTTTCCAAATGAGATGGTTACCTGTTTCATTTTTCCCCATTTAAATCCCTTTTCCTTGTACAGTCTATAAACTTGCTATCCTTTCTTAAAAATAAACTACTACTAAAGTGGAAAAAAAAAAAAGAATATTCTGTGAATGGTTTTTTTAGCCTTTGTTTTTCACTTAAATATATATTCTTGAATGTTAACAAAACTTTTAAAGTGTATGGGTTTTTTTTGTTTGGTTTGGTTTGGGTTTTTGCTATGTAGTTCAGGCTGGCCTTGAACTCACTATGTAGCCCAAGCTGGCCTCAAACTCAAAGCAATCCTCCTGCCTCGGCCTCCTGCATCCTGGGCTTACAGGCTTGTCCCACCATACCTGGCTTCAAGTGTATGATTTTTATGGTTGTGGACAGGATACATCATTCTGTCCCTATACATTTATCATTAGGTTTGTTTCTACCCCCTTAAAATAATTAATAGATTTTACTGTCTCTAACTTAGTAACTGAGAAATAACAAAACACTTTGAGCTTGGTGAATCCCAGCGACTAAAGAGTCTGAAGCAGAAGAATAGCAAATTTGAGATCAGGCTCACAAACAGTGAGACCCTGACTCGAAATTTTTTAAAAATTAAATAAATAAGGGCTGGAGATGTAGCTCAGTGGTAGAATTACCTTGGTAAGGAATGCATTAGTCAAGATCCAGTCTAAAATTATATCTATGTTTTAAACAGAGAGAATTTCATAGTAAAGGATTGTTGCCTGGTGCAGTGAGGCACTCCTGTGTATAATCCAAACACAGGAGGATTGCAAGTTCAAGGCCTGCCTGAACTATATATATATAGCAAGACCTTTTCTTAATAACCCCTGTTAAAAAAAAAAAAGTTAACGAGATAACATGTTAAAAAGAACTTTGAAGTTCCTATGAAACAGCTAACATCTCTAGGGCTTTGAGGACAAAAGGAAGTAGTTAGAAATTTAAAATTCAAACTCGGGAGCTGGGCGTGGTGCCACACACCTGGAATCCCAGCAATTGGGAAGCTGAGGTAGGAGGATCGCAATGAGTTCAAGGCCAATCAGGACTACCTAGTGAGTTCATGGCCAGCCTGCATTACATAGCAAGACTTTGTCTCAGAAAACAAAACAAAAATTCCAACTAGAAGAGGGAAACTGGAAGCTTCCAAATACAAAGTAACATTAATCAATGGTAATGCTAATTATGGTGATTTGTGTACACATTATGTACATGTATTGAAATATCACCCTGTACCTCATGAATATGTGGTTTTTAATGTGTTAATCAAAAAATTTTAAGAAGTGTTTGAGGTAGAAGTTCCAGCTACCCTGATTTGGTCTTTTTTTTAATCTTTATTGTCTACATGTATTAAATTATTGCACTGGCCCCACATAAATATGTACTATTGAAATAAGTTAATGATGGGCCGGGGGTATAGCTCAGCGATGCCGTACCTGCCTGGCGAGCATAAGGTCCTGAGTTTGATCCCTGGTACCAAAAAAAATAAAAATAAAGAATGAAATAAGTTAATGAAAAATAAGTAAAGAATTATTAAAATTCATGAGCTTGAAGGAGCCCCGGGTAGCCAAAAGTCAAGACTGCTAGGAAAGCAGGGAGGAGATATGTGCTGCTGGCATCTCCGAGTGGCAGAAGGGTGGGATGATAAAGCTGATCAGGCAGGAATTGGAAAACCAACTGGATACTGCCGTTTCCTGGGTGAAGAAGAATAGCTGGGGTGATCCCCACAAGAACCATGAGCAAATGCAAAGCTGAGGAAGGACTAAGCTTCTACCATCTTTTAGAGCTTTAGAGTCTCCTGTTGATAGAACCTAGCAGGGAGCCAGCCTCTGGAGCAGAAGTGGATGTAGCGGAATCCTATCCAGTAGCTTGATAAACTACCACAGGGGACATTTAAGGTTTTTAACAGAATGGGTAAAAGACTATCTCAACACAATATTGGAGAGAGGACATAACATGGGGTGTGTTGGAAAAATAAAATGAAGGAAAGGTAAAATTAGTACAGTGATTACTGAACTTCAGTTAACTTCAGAGAACACAGGACAGGTGTTTTGTTATTCTATATTATTCCCACCCCACCCCCAGAGGATCTCTTTAAAAAATTGCCACTCACAAACAAAGATAAATGTAAGGGAATGTTCTCACCACATGATGTATAATAAACTACGCAGCAACTGCAGTGTACTGCAGTTGTGGTAAATTCATGATCAGATGCTGTGCAACCATTACATAGAATGTAGATTTATATATTCCAATATGGAAAGGTGTTCGTGATAAAACAATTTTTTTAAAAGCAATTTACAGAATATGTCTCATTTGTGTTAAGTATACAGAAAAATGTAAGCTTACAGAAAAGTATCTGATAGATTAAGAACCAAAGTGTTTACAGTTTATCTCTGTATGCTGATGCCAAGAATAAGGGGAAGGATTTACCTTTTCTCAGTTGAATTTGTTGTCTACATTTACTTTTGTAATATTTAGAAAATAAAGAGATAGGTATTTTGCTGGAGAAACTTTAGTGCTGATAAACAGGATTTGATGGTCCTATCTTACTAGAAATTTACTTTTGTGCAATGTGCCTGTCATTTTCAATGGTCTGGCTAATGTGTGATCTAGCTAATCTCTGCTTATTCCTTCCATAGCATCATAGCCTTTAGAAAGGCCAACAAAGTGGGCATTTTCATCAAAGTCACCCCGCAGCGCGAGGAAGGCGAAGTGACCGTCTGCTTCAAGATGAAGCATGACTTTAAAAACCTGGCAGCTCCCATCCGCCCCATCGAAGAGAGTGACCAGGCAACAGAAGTCATCTGGCTCACCCAACATGTGGAACTCAGCTTGGGTCCGCTGCTTCCTTAAAAGTTTCCCTGGTGGGCAGATCCCACCAGCAACATTACCACACAAACCCGTGTTACAGTGTGGAAGCTGCTGCTTCCTTAGACCTTGTTTCTAACGATGTACCCATGCACTACTGAGTCTTCTTCCTAGGAGCAGGAGCATAGCCAGGCATTGGGAACAGGGTAGCCACTATTCCTCTTGCTCTCTCCTCTGTTGGCACCAGTAAGTCTGTGTCTCCCTCGTTCTGCCCTACACGTTAAGTAACAACAACATAGTTCCATCCCAGGAAAGGGATGGCTGTTCCTCAGAGAAACTGACCATACTCTCTGTCAGTCTCCTCACAAGGATCAGTCTGACAGATGAGACTTACAGTAATAACCTAAAGCTTGACCTGCTACTTGTCCAGCACTGGTCTCGGTGTACTGACTGCTTTCTGCATTCCATGAAATACAGCTGGGCAGTCTAAAGCATATCCCTTCACTCATCATCATGGCTGTCATTTTGCCACAGATTTCCACATAGCAGAAAAATAGAACTGTCACATTGTCTAGTTTTGTGATGATGGGAAAACCTGTAAAATTCTTAAGGCATTCTTTATTTACCCTCTTCTAAGTGAATACAGGACACTCATTTATCAGTTGCTCTTAAATGGTTTCTCAGTAGAGTATGGAACTTTATCTTTTAATAAAAAGTTCAGAAGTAGTTACATGTGCTGTCAAGTCAGGCATAGTGGCACAGGGGTGTACTCCCCAGCTACTTGGGAGGTGGAGGCAGGAAGAGTGGAAGTTCAAGGCAAGCCTGAGCAACTTGGGGAGACCTTGTCTCAAAATGAAAAAGTGGTGGGAATATAGCTCAGGAAGGCCTGAGGGACAAGTTCATTTCTGGAATGCAGAAAATATTTTTAAAGTTAGAATTTTAGCATGATCTGAACTAATGGGTTTTCCACTGATTTGAAAGGGAAATTAACTATTATAATCTCTTGCATCCCAAACTGGATATTAAAAAAATGGACTTTTCCTCTTACAGAGTTTAAGACTTTTGTCCTGTGGTTTATCAAGTAAGACCATTCTGATTGTAAACCATAACATAGTTCTACAAGTAGCCCAGAATGCTGGCCTAACAGCAGATGCACTGTTTTTACTTGGATACTGGAGCTGAGTTGCTAACCTTAATTTCTGTGATGTTTTCTAAAACAAGACTTTGCAAAGTAGACTGTCAGCTACACACCATGTGTCTTTAAAAGTATTCTTAGTGGCCAGTGGACTTTTGAGGAAAAGATAAATTTCCTGATTATCCTTATTTTGTATAAGTCTGTAGCTTAAAAATACTAAGACATATAATCTAGAATACATGTAGGACATGGTCCTTGTCAGCTCCCCTTGAAAGATGAGGCTATTTAGGAAGCTTTTGAAAGACCCTAAATTGTACTCTTAAGGTCAAACCAATTTTATGAAGAAATATTCCCACAGAGTAATACATGCTGCAGTATAAGAAAAAAATACTCATCTTTAATATGGTAAAAATTGAAATTTAGCCTCTTAGGAGTCAGGGCAGGGAAATGGGTAACTAATAGTTTTGCAGACTGTAGAAAGAGCTTAGTTTTTTGTGACCCCACAGAGTGTCAGTTTCCATTTCACTGCATGCTAGACCCTGCTGTGAAACCACTGCTGTTTGCATACTGGCCAGTGGAAGAGGTGGGCGTGAGTAGAGGACAGCCTCATACGTTTACACATTTGCATGGACTGTAAAGAGTTGTGTGTCAGGCCTTTATGGCATGAAGCTGGTATTTGAAGTAATGGATCTCATCACTCCCATGTGATACCAAAACCCAAAAAAGTTTAATTAGTTTTTTCTTCAGAAGCCAAGTTAACGTGCAGAATAACAGAGCTATTGGTTTCAATTTCCTCATGATAGGTTTTAGCACAAGACGGTGTTCTCCTTAAAAAAACTGGTACCACATCTGCAACTGGTGAATTACGAATTTCATCTGTTGCCTTTTTTATATTAGAATAGGTGCAAGGTTTTTAACACTGCTCAGTGTGCACCCACACAGGAGAGTTAGATGTCATTAGCACTTGAAACTACACTTTTGGAAACATGAGCCTAAGTTAATTTGGATTTGTGATTTGATTTACTCACCAAAGTTATCTTTGGTTCAGAGCACATACGATAGGCATACTGAGCTAAATGTCATGCGTATTTGTAAAGAAACATCTTTTTTGGTCCCTTTTGGGAATGAGAGGCACTCCTTAACCTTCATGAATGACAGGTTGTTGTTTTGCCTTATTGCTTAGTTTAATGTAGTAAAATAAAGCAGACAAAGCTTGAATGTGTCTTGGTTTCTTTCATGAATACTGATTGGAAGGAGCATGGCTCAGAGTCCACACATAGGGTGGGGTGAAGTGAGTTGGTAGATGAGTCATTAGACAGGCTCCTTCCATTTCTTTACATGAACTCTAAGGTAAAACTTTATGGGGGATACCTCACTGTAACATTAGATAGGTGGATACTGCTTGAGTGCCTTATCTAATGTCCTCAGAACCAGTACATAAATGTAGTTAGATGTCTACCAGGCTGGGTCATGACAGCCAAAGATTCTTCAAGTATACAGAATGGTCCCACTCCCAGAGGTAGCCATTCATCCAGCATCTTCTGTACACACACACCTGCTCTTTCCGTCCTGCTGTATGAGTTGTGTATGCCCCTGCCTGAAGGCAGCCCCACTTCTTAACACTCAAGCTCATCCATGTTATTCAAGGACGTCAGCAGTTCCCTTCCTCGCCTGTGTCACTTCTATTACCATTTTATGATTCAGTTCATCTTAAAACGATCTCACACTCTTCTGTGCCACCCCAATGCTCAGCCCATTCCAGTTAGGCCGTCACCCTCAACCCTTCTCGCAACTGCCCTTGTCAAGGTCACAACCTGTCTCCACACTGTTAACTATAGTAGTTCTCAGATCTTACCTATGTAATTTGTCAGTAGCATCTGACAGTTGATCTCTCCTAGTTTGAAAGACCGCATCATTTCCAGAACACAACATGACAGGTTTCCCTCTACCTCCCGGGAAACTTTTCTTCAGTGTCATTTTCTAGTCCTCATCGTCCCAACCTTACAGTGTTCATACATCTCATTTCTTACACTTTTCTCTCTATACTTTCTTGCCCAGTTTTCAGGCCATCTCCCATATTCCAATACCTTCTCTAGAATATTCACTAGAAGTCCAAAACCACAGTCTAGATTTTCTCTCCCATCTGTTTCTTCTGCAGTGGTAACTAATTAAATGGCAACTATATCCTTTCAGCTTGAAAGTTCTCTCAGATTATGCATAGCTAGCACTCTTGCCACACGCAGCTCTTTGCTCCAATGTTGCTTTCACTGACCACCCTATTCCAGGTCAGCATACTAAACATACTCCCCATCCCCTTCCTTTGCTTCACTTTCCTCCACAGCGCTCAGTGGTCATTGTCCAACGCACCTGGTACACTTGTTTATTTTCTGATTCATAATTCTAGAACATAAGATCCATTAAGACAGGGATTTTTTTGTCTTTAATTACGATATCTCCAAAACCTAGAACAATCCCTGGCAAAGAGTAGGCACCATATCTTTGTTGAATAAATCAGCATTATCACTCTTTTCCTCTTTGTCTCTGTTGATACATTTCAGACATTTTTAGAGCAATTTTAGTGTCACAGCAAAACTGAGTGGAAGGTACAGAGACTTCCTATATACCTCTTGCCTCCACATATGGGCAGCCAACCCATTGGCTACATATGGCACCAAAGTAGTACATTTGTTACAGCTGATGACATCATTGGAGCCCAGAGCCCATCTTTTACATTAAGTTCATTTAGGTTGCACTTCTATGGGTTTGGACAAAGATATATTATATCCACTATTACAGTATCATACTGAGTAGTTTCACTGCCCCAATAATCTGTTCTATGCCTGATTATCTCTTCCATACCCCAACCCCTGACGACCACTAATCTTTTTATTGTCTCCATAGTTTTACCTTTTCTAGAATGTCATAGTTGGAGTCACACAGTATGTAGCCTTCTCAGACTGGCTTTCTTCTCTTAGTGATATATACCAAAGGCTCCTCTCTGTCTTTTCCTGGCTTGAAAGCTCATTTCTTTTTAGTGGCTGCTGATCTTTTATCGTTTTTTATAAACAATATACTTTGCCTCATTTTGTCAGAAATATTTTCTTCCTGACTTTTTCTCGTTCTGGTGTTTTCTCACCTAGAATACCCCTCCCTCTCTGTACCGCCAGTATTACTTCTATCTAAATGTAATCTTAATCCACAACACTGCACCTATGCAGAGCAGGAATCCCTTCTTGCAAGATGGGGTTCTGTAGGTGGATACTACTTTACTACTGCAAACTCCCTGAAAGCTACATCTAGGCCCCTTTATCATCTGCTGCTCCTACACTGCATTCAAAGATGAACCTAGAGCAAACTCCAAAACACAGACCTAAATTGCTTTCTGAATCGCAATCCAATCATGCACCACATACTACAATTTTGGTTAATAATGAGCTGAATCTATGATGGGTCCCACAAGATTATATCACTTAGTGATAGTCGTAGCCATATTCACTTGGGTAGGCACACTCTATGACATTTGTGCAATGACAAAAGTGCTTAATGATGCATTTCTCAAAAGATATTCTTGTTCTTAAGTAATGTATGTACCCTAGCTTCATCTTCTGATGGTCAAGAACATTAACAATATAGAGAAGTATATTTCACAGTGTGCATTACCTACATACACAAAGTAACAACTTTAAGTGTTAAGTGAAAGTAACATTAAGTAATCTAGAATAAATACTCTGAGAGTTGTTTGTTTCTTGTTTTTCCCTCAGTAGTGGGACTGAACTCAGGGCCTCTCCCAGCAAGGCAAGTGCCCTACCACTAAACTACCCCAACTGTTATGGCTTATATCTAGATGTCCCCCAAAGCCTCATGCACTCATCAGTGGGGCTTTGGGAGTGAGGGGTTCATGGCCGTGATCCTGGATTAGTCCATTGATTGGTTTAGCAGAGCTCTGGGTGTAAGTGATAGATTTACTGGAGAAGTCTCACCCTGGGGGGTGGGTGGCACCAACAATAGGTTTGCAGCCTGGATGGAATAAAAAGGAAAAGGAGGAAGGCTCACTGCTTCCTGCCTGCCATACCATGGACCATTTCTCCTCTGCAATGCCCCTCTACCAGTGCCACCCTGCCTTGGAGCCAGCTGACTGTACTGAAACTTCTACACACTGAGTTAAAATAAACCTCTCTTCCTTAAATTTGTGGGTATTGGGTATTTAGTCCCAGCAAGGAGAAAGTAACTAAGAAAGTAACTAGCCCCTCCGCCAACATACACTTCCAGCTATAAGGCTTTTATAGGTTAACAGTAGCACTTGCTAAATAACAATGTTTTATTTTCATTGTACTTGTTTGTTTGGGGTACCAGGGATTGAACTCGGGACCTTGCACTTGTGGGGCAGGCAGCGGAACCTCTGAGCTAAATCCCTGGCCCCCATTGTACTTGTTTTTAAGAACTCTAGTAAGCATGTGATACTTTCTACTTGCAGAACTGACAGAAACTTTCCTTTTAAAATAAGTCACATGAGCCAGGTTGTGACTCATGTACACCTAATCCCAGCACTCTGGGAGGCTAAGGCAAGAGGACTGCAAATTCTAGCCAATCCTGGGCAACTTAGTGAAACCTTGGCTCAAAATAATTTTTAAAAAAAATTTTTTTAAGCGCTGGGAGGTAGCTAGGCACAAACAAAGTAAAAGGTTGACTCTGCCATTCCGCAGAAGCTTATGCCTACAATTTGGGTATCTGTAAAACAAAAATGAAAGGTGGACAGATGACAAAAATCATAAATGTTCTTAAATCTATTGGAAACCTGATGTCTCAGGTCCCAGGCACAAGGGAAATTTTTGGAATGATGCATCTACTGTTCTCTATATTTGTGGTGAATTTATGTAAAAATTCATAACTACAAGTGGTTTTACTATACGTAAATTATTCTTTAAATAAGCATAATTTTTTTAAATGAGGATTTAAATAACCTATTAGGTAGTTTGATGACAGGTCAAAAATGAAAGTAGTACTAGATGGCTTGAATTTCATAAAATATTGGCAGAATTGTTATAATTTGTTGCAAAATGAAATAACAATGTATGTGTTGACCCTTAACACTTTTTTGTCAGAAGCTGGAAAAACAGTATTATGTCCAATGTCCCCTCTCATGTCATGGAGAGGTTTGTCACCATTTTTAGCTGCACAACCAAGAGCAGTTATTTCATCTAACTCTGTTTCCTCTTCTATAAAAGGGGAATCGGTATACTTGCATATACAGTAAGTAGAATTATGAGATAAAGCCAGGCATGGTGGCACATGCCTGTAATCCCAGCAATTAGGAGGCTGAGGTGGGAAGACTGCAGTGAGTTCAAGGCCAGCCTGGACTGCATGGCGAGACCCTGTCTCAAAAAACCACACACACACACACACACACACACACACACACACACACACCCTGTCTCACAAACTAAAATCCAGAATGCCTAGTTAAATATGAATTTTAGATAAGCAATGAATCTTTTTTTGTTGCTGTTTTGTCTTTTCAGATTCTACATAGTCCAGGCTGGCCTTAAACTTGCTATGTAGCTCTGGCTGGCCTCGAACTCGTGATTCTCCTTTCTCAGCCTCCCAAGTGCTAGGATTACAGTCCTGTGCCACCATGTCCGGACAAATCTCCAGGCATATTTTAATTCTAAAACAAGATCTTGCTAAATCCCTGAGTTACCCAGGCTGGGCTCAAACTTGCGACCTCCCTGTCTCACTCCCCCTCTCAGACAACCAGATACTGGGATTACAGGTGTGCACCACCATGCCCCGCTCTGAATCCTTTTTTTCTTTTCTCTCTCTTTTTTTTTTTTTTTTTGTACCAGGGATTGAACTCAGGACCTTGCGCTTGGGAGGCAGGCGATGGCACCACTGAGCTAAATCCCCCGCCCATAAATCCTATTTGAAAATATGCCCCAAACACATTTATACAGGAAAAAAAAGATTTCTTTTCTGGAATACAGCTTGAGTAGACGTTCTGTGTATTTGCTAACTCTGCCAACTCTACAAAGAGATTATTGTGAGAATTAAATGAGGCTAGCACCGCAAGACGTCACCCAGCGTTTGGCATAATAAGCGCTTGGTGGTAGCTAACGCTGGTTTAATCCCAGCCCCAGCTTCTCATTCATTACTTGTTCCTTTATTCTTTCGCCCAACTTTGAATAAATCATCTATACTTGTCGCTTTTCACCCTGAGTAGA